CATTTTATGACTTTTGTCAGATTTGTTAAGTGAATCACTTCAGCTGTTACATTAATAATACAGTTAAGTGAATCTGGCTTCCATTGACTTTGCTTGTCAGAAGCTCGCAAAAGATGATCACATGACCCCGGGGCACTGCAACCGTCATAAATATGAACCAGTTGTCAAGCATCAGAAAGTAAATCATGTGACCACGGGAATGCTGCCATGGTCATAAGTCACTTTTTCAGTGCTGCTGTAACTTCGAACAATCACTAAATGAACTGTTGTTAAGTCGAGGACTACCTATACAAGGACAAATCACATACTATGACCTATTTAGCCTTGCAATTTTAAGGAAGCATTAGAGATGAGTTTAGTGAATTTACTGCAATATGGTACTATATGTGATGCTAATGGAATATATTCTCTGAATCAGAGGTCCCCAATCTTTTGAGCACCAGGGACCGGTTATGTGGAGAGAGCTTTTTCCAAGGAACCGGTGTGTGTGTGTGTGTTTTTGTGTGCTGCCTGCATCCTGTGGATGGGGCTTTCCTTGTTTGTGCGGACTGGTTGCTGGCATGCTACGGCCCGGTACTGGTCCACGGCCCCGGGACTGGGGACCCCTGCTCTGAATAATACAAAAGCATCAATAATGGAAACAGGGCCATTTCCCAACAAGGTAAATTGGGAAGTAATTAAGTTACATTATACTTTGTATATAATAACAGCTAAAATTAGGCTACATTTAGGAATACCCAGTCTGTATCAGAAAAACCATAATCATACTATACAATAATTTCATCATCTATCAACGACATGCATTTGTAGCTTTGTTAATTATATAAATACAGATGCTACCTTCTTCATGAAGGTATTTTACCGTAGTTAAGAAATAATCAAACCTTAGAGGAGGGATTTTCAAGCTTTGTAGTGCTAAATAAATGTTGGAAACGTCTGAACAAGAAATAATGTTTTATTATATACTAGCTGTACCCGGCCACACGTTGCTGTGGCTCAGTCTGGTTAAATGGAAAAGAAAGAAAAGAGAAAGCGCACGTTTCTAATATGTTTAATTTAACAATGCTTGTGGGTATACAATATTTTTTGTTGTTCCATTGTCTGTGCAGATATAGAGATTGTCTGGTTTGCCGACTCCAGAACACGCAACATATAATTGTCCATGTAATAATAATAATAATA